CTTCCACTTTGTATAGCAAAAGACATTGTAAATAACAATATAATTCTGCCAAAATATCTTTATTTGGCAACTCATCCCCAAGTGCACTATAATTTCAAAATATCTCACATTCGCACAGCTTTATCTTTGCATTTTTGCAAGGATACTTTCATAGGTTATCAATGTCTTTCTGCTAGAGCCCAGATGATGCACACTGACTTGGGATGTTACATGTTACGCTCAGCCTGACCTTTACGGTGAGTAAAGCTCACATCATATTCCCAGTTTGTGAACAGGTGAATGAACATTTGGATGATATTAGGTGTGGAGCACACGCCTTATGGGAGTAGCTAAGGGAACTGGGATTTTCCAGTTTGGAGAAGAGAAGGCTCAGGGGAGAACTTATTTCTCTCTACAACTGCCTGAAAGGAGGTTGTGGCAAGGTGGGGGTCGGCCTCTTCTCACACCACATAACTAGCGGCAGGACTAGAGGGAATGGCCTCAAGCTGCACTGGGGGAAGTCCAGGTTGGATAACAGGAAAAATTTCTTCTTTGAAAGAGTGGTCGGGTGCTGGAATGGGCTGCCCAGGGAGGTGGTGGAATCACTGTCCCTGGAGGTGCTCAAGAAACATTTTGATGTTGTACTAAGAGACGTGGCTAAGAGGGGAATATTGGTGGTAGGTGGTTTGTTGGACTGGATGATTTTGGAGATCTTTTCCAACCTTGGTGATTCAAAGTTTCTATGAATGATTAAATCAGTTCTGAAGTTGAAAGTGCTCTGAATTATGTCAATCTAGTTACTACACTTCTCCACTGATTTGCTTCAACATATTGTTACATCCTGCATTTTTGTTGTTGCATGCACCTAATGTTGTTTTCTTCCTTTCTCAGAGTCCAACTTCTTCAGTCTGAGGAGTTTAATGCCTCACACCGTATCACATTTTCAGTGCAGTAGCAACAGACTGTGCCAGAGACAAGGTGTGATGCTCTCTGGAGTGGTTAGCAGTACACCAAGTCCTGTGTGGGAACACCTGCTCCAATAAGGTGTTATCAGCAGCACAGAATGATGAGTCCCAGCAGCCTACTAGCACAAAATCAAGATCGTTAGTGATAGAATTACTAACGTTAAGTTGATATTGTGCTGCTCGACCAATGTTTCAAGCTGGCAGTGAACAGATAAAAACTATTTTCCGGTGCAATGCACACTATTTCTGATGCATGTCACTTCTAGTTTCCCATAGCTAGTATTCAGATGACATTATTGTGAAAATCCAGAATAGCAGCTACAGGACATGCAAACAACAGCTCCCACTGTCACAGACACACTTGACTCTGGAAGCTTTCAGCCATTCATCTCTGCCACAGCCTAGAAAGTATTTTTATATTCAAGACAGAGCAATCTTCAGTGTTTTAAAACCCCTAAAAATCACTACATTTGCTATTCTGCATGCCTATCAAGAACTCTTAGCTAAAGAAGCACTTCTAAAATACTGTAAAGTTGTTATGTTAGCAGGCTGCACAACTGGAATGACTTTGAGCAGCACCTCTTCAATCTATGATCATAAAATAGAACGCTATTGATTTTCCAGCTCCATTCTACCAAGTGCAGAACATCCTGAGCCCACGCCAGAAGAGCACTTAAATATATTCTTATTCATGCAGAGAGTTCAGCTGAAGCCAAGGTCTGAGATCCTTAGCCTTGTCCCTTTCGTAGCACAGAAGACAAAGGTTGTGATGAGAGATGGATGTAAGACACCAGCATCAGTGTGGAGATCATTGCCATTCGGTCTGCTTCCAAAATATCCCTATACAGGCAGTGGCATGGGGACACATTGCCAATGCTGGCTGACAGCCTGCTATTACTGACTTTTCCAGCTCACTTAACAGAGCAGCACAACTGCCCAACATCACTGCCTACATATTGCCCTTGTACACATGAATGGCAGCAATCTCTAGAATCACAGAATCATAGAATGGCCCGGGTTGAAAAGGAGCACAAAGATCATTTGGTTTCAACCCCCTGCTGTGTGCAGGGTCACCAACCAGCAGACCAGGCTGCCCAGAGCCACATCCAGCCTGGCCTTGAATGCCTCCAGGGATGGGGCATCCACAACCTCCTTGGGCAACCTGTTCCAGCACTTCACCAGCCTATGAGTGAAAAACTTCCTCCTAATACCTAACCTAAACCTCCCCTGTCTCAGTTTGAAACTGTTCCTCTTGTCCTATCACTGTCCACCCTCATAAACAGACTTACCCCTCCTGTTTATACACTCCTTTCAAGTACTGGAAGGCCACAATGAGGTCCCCTCAGAGCCTTCTCTTCTCCAAGCTGAACAATCCCAGTTCGCTCAAACTTCTATCATAGGAAAAAAAATATCTGAAAATTTTTCAAAGATCTTGAGATGCTCTAATTTTCCAGCCAGGCTAAACACCAGCATCGCTAAGGCAAAATCAGAGCAAAACAGTTTAACAGTCAAATGAAACACCATTGATAGCACAGCACTGTTTCTTGCAATAGCTGACTTGAAGTGGGCATTATGGCTGCAAAAAATCGTTTTTGCCAATAAGATTTTGATGTTGGGATACTTCAAGCCTATGTGAGTCCAATGAGATCACCATGCCTTTCACACCTGGTCTCATGAGAAGGAACTAATAGAGTGAACCAAGAATAAAGAAAAGAGACTTTTGCATGATCTCTGATACACCTCAGCTGACAAGGCATAGATTATGGTGATGTATGGAGTGTTAACTATCTCAAGCAGCCCTTCCTTTCCTAGACAAGCACACAGTGACAGCAGTTGGCACCAGTAAAAGCACAGTTGGGATCCCCTCAGGATTTGTTGCCTGCAGATCAAGCGATAAAGGCGAGGGCTGGGATGAAAGGAAGGTGAACTACATGGGCTGAAACATTCTGAGTGTTTCTCAGTTCTTAAGGCAACAAAGTTTATGGAGATACTTAAAGCGTATAGATGCAACAAAGACATTGAACATCACTGCTGCATAGAAGGCAACAAACTAAATAAAGCTGGAGAAAGAATTCCAGCTTTAAATAGGGCAGCTTTATATCTGGATGACTTAACACTTGCAGTTGATCCAGAACGCAGCCTGCAGCTCTTCATAAACCCCAGTAAGACTTTTGGGATCATCTTTTCCACCCTCAGAAAGATGCTGGTTCGCTTTTAGGATTTGCAGATCGTCAGCCAGAAGGGGCCATCAAATTGATTGCATGTATGATTACACCTTGCTGACATCAAGACTGGATTTGGGGCAGATTTGAATTTCCAGCAATGGCATCTCCTTGCAAAAACACCTTCTGCAGCCATTGTAGGCAACCGACTACAGAGATGTGTCAAGTATAACTTCTGCATATGTGGGTGGGTGAAAATGCAAGGTTACCTGTACCTTCATACTGCCTTCAGAGACTTCTGAAAGCAGAAGCAAAGCCTGTGCATCTCTTTGGACACATACCCAGCCTTCTGATTAATAATATATGAAAGTATGCTTAAAGTATGTATTCTGGTGTCATCCTGTAGCTGTCATTGCAAGCCTCCCTTCACAGGACAATCCCACGGCGACGAACCACGAATCAGGCAGTTTCCAAGGAGATACAACTCAGGTACAACACAACAGTACTAGAAGTATTTCTATAAAGTTTGAAATGTTTTTAATATGTACATTCTTAGTAAATATCAAAGTAGTGCTTTTCTCTTGCACTTTTTCTTTAGACTTCTAAAAGGGCATCAGAAATACAGTTTTCATCCCCCTCCAAATCAATGCACAGGTTGTTACCTCCGTAACAAGCACATATGAATTCTGTACATCTTCCCCTCCCCACAAAAGAAAAATATGCCATGACTATCCAATTACACATCATCACAACAAGTTTAAATTACGCATACAAATAATTCTGGAGTACTTAAAAAAAACCCAACATACCGGATTTATGAAACCATTCCATGCATTCAACACCAAAAAAGAAAAAAAAAGAAAAAAAAAGACTTGTTTCTTTAAATGGTGTTTTTCTATCCCAGTACCAAAGTCTGGATTCAGTATAACCATTGCTTGAGTCATAGGAACGTGACAATACATAGATAACCAAGTTTCTATTCATTGACAATATGCTATACTGTTACTACTTCTTCAGTGAATGTCAAACAAAGCAAGATTCGCTTTCTAAGACATTGAAACTGCACATTAAGAAAACAGTAAGAGGTGCTGCTAAACAGGCAACAACATCTTGAAAGGAAGGCTACGTATTCATACGATCCTGTTCAGGAGCAGCAGTTTATCAACAGAGTTCCTACCTTGTTTGCTAGTTTCTTTTTACCAGACCAGCTTTTTCAGAGTGAATTAACCCAACTGTAAATCAAAACCACCAAAAGCACCAGCTGTACCCTGAAGAGACAAAAAAGATGTATGCAGTGACTCTTCCTTGGGACAGTCTGTCTGTGTTATCTCTGAGAGCAGCCCATCGCACAACATACAGTCCGGAAAGAAACATTTTGAAAATACATTACAAACCTGAATTCAAAGGATGTTCTTTTGCCAAGAAAACATAAAATTAAAGTATTATATACACACATACAACTCTGCATGATTTTGTAATATCCAATTTGTGTGTCTGCTTTCAGATACTCCTTGAAAACTGTACTTCAGCTCTCAATTTAGCTCATGCGAGTCCTGCCTGACAGGTATCAGCAGCAGGCATCATTCCCTCCCAGCAAATTAATGAGTACTGTTAATATGCTGAATTTATTTTGACAAGTGGGTTTAGAGGTCACACATTCCTGATACACAGGCATAAATTCCTGTGCAAATTAGTATGATTTATTAGCAAAGTTGTCCATTAGCAAGGTGCATTTTCAGTACAAGTAAAACCAGCTCGCATCATTAACTAATCATGTCTAGCAGTAGTGCTGAATTGCAGCTCAGCACAGCAAGACAGTGAGAGTTTGTTGACCAGTACCATGTGTCACAGCTGATAGCAATTCTGCTCACGGTACAAAACCGGCAGTCAATCATTTCAAAACATCTTGGCTCTTTTACTGAAAGTCACCAGGGGATGCCAATCACCACCTGCATCCAACAGGTTGTTGTAAAGGCTATTTACAGTGTACATGACTTAGCATGCACCTTACAGACACAAACACATCGTCAGTTTGATACCATGTAGTTACACAGTGCCTGAAAATGACAACACATCTTAAACACCATTTCAATTAACAGTTTCAAGCAGGAAATGCTCTTTATTTTTTGTAACTGCTATACTTGAGTTAATGTTTTCCTTTTATTTTTTTATAAAAACACAAACTCCTGTTCAGAAGTCTAGACATATTCTACACACTACAGGTTAAGGCAGTAAAAAAAAAAAAGTGTTCCTGATAACTGGTCTTGACAATGTCAATTAAAGCTGTCTGAAGCCACTCCAGTTCTCCAACAGATCACCGCATTCCCAATTTCACTTGTTGAGTGAAAGTTCACCTTATTTTGAGTTTTAGCATTAGAGAACAAAACAGAGTTGGGTATGGTAAATGAATAAGTTCTAAGGGAAGAGAACATTTGATTTTAATTCCTTGTGGGATTTTAAGAGTTAAAAGTGTTACAATTTTGGATGGGAATTTGAATCAACCAAGAACTACAGCGAATGAAGCAGAGAAGCTGATTTTTATGCACATGACTGCATTCTTAAAATATATATGGTTATCTTCAACAATTCAAGTAAGGTAATAGACATTATCAAAAATAACTTCATGGACCATACTTATGCTTCAAATCACATTCTCAAACTTTTAACCCAAAGTAGTTTTATTGTGTTAACTTCATACACAAACCATGAAGGTCCGACTGGTACAAATGGTTACGATTTGCACTTGTGATTCCTGTAATAGCTAGCAGACTCGCTAACCAACTTACTGTAAGGATATGGTAGATTACATATTAAATCAAAGCACTTTGATTTAGGCATGAAACAAATTCTAATTGTTGACATTCTGTGCTTCTACTGCATCACCCACAAGAGAGGCAAGAAACACCCACTACTGTACAGACATATTTTTACAGAAAACCCTTCCTTGAAATTAACCTTTTATCCGTAGCAGTAGATGAGAATATAATCTGTTGTAAACAGGGCACTGTGTTGTAAAACCAGTTTGTTTTTTTAATTAAGATCTCTCTCCAAAAGTTGGAAAAGCAGACTCTTCAGAATGTCTTTCAAATGTAGCATGTTCTGTTTCCTATATTATAAAGTTACTTTCGTTTGATTCCTTTTTGAAGATGTTTGTGTTCACAGCAGTTCTGTTTTTAAAAATTGTTTGAAACATATAAAATTCTGTACATGTTCACAAATTATTGCATAAACAGCATAATCTTCATGACAGTATTCAGCAACGCATGTCCATCTCGGGAAGTTCACGTTTCCCTCCTTGCTTTTTTCTTCTTTTTGACTTGTTTGGGGGATTCCCAGCTTTCTTCAGACTTTGCTGGAAAATAAAACATAACTACAGAGTCACAACTGAGAAAATTTAGATAGACTTTCAGAATACTAAAGTTTACATCCTATGTTACAATACAGCTATTCTTCAACAGACATGATTTTTGAAGGAGACTACCATTTTCTGTTGTACTGAATAGGCTAATTTGAAGTGTCTGTAAAACAAAGTCTGCTAACTCCAACCTATTTTTATTATTATTATTTTTTTTACACCACAAGTAATAAAATGAACGATTTTCTCTAATGTAACCCTTCCAGTAAAATGGGACACAACAAGCCATTATTATTATTATTATTTTTGTTAACTAGAAATAAGTGTACACAAAATTAACTGTTCACTTTCATAAGATTTTAACCACTAAGTGACTCCCTTCCTTGGAATTATTCAAGGCCAGGCAGGACGGAGCCTGGGGCAGCCTGACTGAGTTGGTGGCAGCTCTGCTCATGGCAAAGGGGTTGAAATTAGATGGGCTTTGAAGGCCTTCCAACCCAAGCTAATCGATGATGATCCCATAACAAAAGATTAGTTTTTAAAATAATGAACTACATTAAGGTGTGGTTACATGGTATCCAGGATCAAGTAAAGCAGCAGTACAATTTTACTAAAATAGATAGCTTCAGAACACACTGCCTGCCAGAAGTAGTAAGTCAGGTGAGATATTGCAATCTGTACAACAGAAGATATTTTCCTGAAAGGCCAAGGCCGGAATCAGCCACAAAAGCCCTCCTATTTCAGAACCAGAGCAAAAAGCAGATAACTGACATATAGGCTGCTTAGTCACAGCACAGAACTCCGGTCCTGATGGTGAGCAGTAGAGCCAAATGCCTGTCAAGGATCAGACAAGGCCAACAAACGTCTTCAGTCATTCAAGCATACTTGAAGCTTGTTTTTCTTCATGGCGGAAAGACATTTGCCAAACTACTTAAACGGAAGCTATGATATCACAAGATCTATACCTAAATATATCTATCTATCTGATGTGCTACTCTACACCCAAACCTCATGGCAAAGCACTGACTATACACATTCTATGGAAAAAAAAACACAAAGAAAGCACAAAAAGCCACACCCTAAATCCAGCCCAAGGGATTGTACTGACATACTTACTCTGGGGAGGAGGCACACTGTTTTGCTTAATACTGGGACTAGAAACATCTGTCTCTTGCAGCATCTGTGGCACTTGGGAAGCAATCTTGACAGAATCACTCTCTGATACAATTACAGATGGCTCAGAAACAGCAAGAGAAGGAGCCTCCACAGGCTATTGCAAAAAAGAAAACATTTTCCCAAAAGTTTACCATGTCATACATCAGTAAGGTATTCTTATACATTCTTATACTACTTAGTAGCTGCTGGGAAGATGGCACTGAGAAACTTAAACTAGTATTAAAAATCCTTAAAATTCAAATCAAGGCTGCAACACTGACTGCCATCTAGTGCCAAAACTTTTAGTTGCATACAAGCAAAGCCATACAAACTAAATCCTCTCAAAAAAAAAAAAAACACAACAAAAAACCAGGTGAGGCTGGATCAGGCCCTGGGCAACCTGATGTCCCTGTTCATTGCAGGGGAGTTGGACTAGATGGCCTTCAGAGGTCCCTTCCAACTCTAAGGATTCTATGATCCTATGATTCTTTGAGTTGTACCTTCTGATAATATATACCAGAGGTTTTCCTTGGCATGTGCAGCCTAATGTATAATAAAGGAATGTATATGTGGAAAAATATTACCAGATCAAAAAAATAAAGAAAATAATGTCTTCCTGTTTCTGGTCTTCACTAGGATATTTTGAGTAGCTAATTTCTGTACTCTAATATTGGTGTTATTTCCCTTGGATTTGGTTCTCATGTTCTTTTCCTCGCGTTTGCTCCTCAGCTTACAGAACTTCTGCTCAAGAATGATCACCTTTGTCAGAAACTTAAGTCATGCATTTCAGTCATCAGTTAGAGACTACTTCTAAAACTTTTTGTCCAGGGAAGTCAAACATCATCAGAAAACCACTTAGCACAAGCAAAATAGCAGGAAAGCCAAATTTGATGTCAAAGGGGCTGGAAAACAGCTGACAGGTCATCAACAGGATTGCTTAAGTCTAAAAACAGCTCAGTACAACAGAGCTGATGCTGTTTAACCATTAAGTTGGAACTGGTTTTAACCACTAAGTAACAAGGTAGTCTGCTGAAAGTGAGCTGATGTTGGAGAACGGTTAAAGAACTTGTATTCTGTGTGTACGTTTAAACTGCAAGCTGAAGCAAATGGTCAATCTGAGAACTGGTTTAATGACAACTCAGAATAGAGTAAGTTGCTAATTCTTCATTCTGTTTGCAAAGAAGCCATAAAGTATGCTAAGATTATAGTCTTATGCTCTTACCTATTTATTCTCAGGTTTCCAGACTTCAAAGTTTTAACCATTTATTCAAACAAATGAAAAGAATCCAACTTTGAAAGTCAAGATGACTGCTTTTAGCAAATATTGTTTTTCAGAATGGGTCCCTTTTATGAAAACTCATAACTGACCTGAACCTAATGAACTTCAACCTTCCAATCACCTTCATATTAATAGATGTAATTCAAAGTATTCAGTATTCTTAGAGTAACACCACCATACACAAATTAATGTTTCAATACATTTTCATGTTTCAAAAATCAGAAATCATACAATTTTGTATTCATACCTTAGCTGGTTCACTAGTACTTATGGTCTTCAGAGAAAAAGCTATTTCCTGCTGTGGCTTAGCTTTTGAGGTATCCTCTTGAAATTCCTCTCCAGCTTCTCTGTCCAGTTCTTCAGTGTCCTACCAAGCGGGAGGGGGAGGGGAAAGGGAAGCCTTTTAATATTTGGTATTTAACTAGAATTCTTGATAGGAATGGTCTTATCACAACAATTGTAAGAGATAATCTCAGACTAAAAACATGACAATCACAAGAAGCAAGTCCAAAGTAAGAGTGACTGAAGTAATGCCCCCCCCCCCCCTCCAGTTTACCTACCCAGCCAGATGCAACTGAGAATTTCGTTTTTTGTGAAGAAGCTGTTATGAATGGCTGCCACCACAGGCAGAAAAGCAGGATCTATTTTCAGCGTGATCTGACAAAAGATTTTTCCTACTTGAAAAATACTTGTTTTCAGCTACTCAAACACACTTCAATTGCTAACTGCAATCTACTTTTGGTAGCCATCTAATTCAAATATGATTTCCATAGCTTACCTGCACTTCTGCGGTTAAGTATCAATATCTTTAATGTTTCATGTGAATTACAACAGTATTTCTGGAAACCACTATATTCTAGAGGAACTGCACTTCAAGAACACCTACAAGAGAACTTAAATTTCCCTTGTTCCCCTAGCTAGCCATGCACAGGAGGTCAGCTGTCTTTCAAAAGGCAGGAAGGGAGCGCTTCCATGCAGAGTGCCTGCTAAAAGCCTCTCTACAGTACAGAACTCTGATTTATCAAAAACAATTTGAGGTTCTTTCTATGTGTTCCAAGTTTTCCATAAATCCAGCAGAACTACAATGTATTTACCAGTCAATTCAGAGAATCAATCAAATTAAAGGAAATACTGACAAATTAATCTCTCAGGCATTTACCTCTTAACTTGCAGAAGAGCAGTAGACTGCACAATAAATAAATTTTCTCTCTCTCTCTGATTCTGTGAATTCCTCACAAACTGATCTTATTCCATTTACCTGTGAAGGAGAGTTAGCTTCTTCACCATGCTTCTTCTTTTTCTTCTTCTTTTTCTTGGACTTCCCACTTGTAGAACTCTGAAGAACTGGCTCTCCTTTTTCTCTTTCATTACCTAAAGCCTTCAATATGGGAATAAGATATTTAACACCCTTTCTATATGCTATACATAAATTACTAGCTACAAGGTCTATAACTGCCTATAAAAGTGGAAGTGAACACAATCTTATCTGTTCATTTTGAGAAGACCACATTCTTTATACACTCTCTAAAAGCAGAAGTACAGCAGCTGGGAAAGAAAAATGCAGCAGAGAACAATGGACTGGTGGCACAGAAATGCTGCTTTTCTCAACATTTTTTTTGGTGTGTGAAGTATTTATGAGGAGGGATCCAAACCCTTGATTAGTACACAATGAAAGGTAATACCTTACATTATAGTGAGACAGCAAGATTTGATGCGGAGCTAATTGGTTTCTGTTTTACCCATTAGCAACATCCATCTTTACATATTAACAAAATTACAATGCTCTTATCAGTGTAGAGGAGATGAGAGATTACCTTTATCACCACCTTTATTAAGTTACTTTAAGAAATAGCAGTGGTAAGGGCAAAGTCTTGGTGCTAAGGAGAAAATATCACCTTTTACCTTCTGAACATCAGATAATGCCTCTTCAGGCTGTGGAACAGAAGCAACTTTTTCTTCATCGACCCAGTTTCCCCACTCTTCTGCTGGTGCATTCCAATCAGAGCTAGGGTCAGCAGAAGAAAGTCCATCTACAAAGATCGAGAAGATCTTGAGGAATGTTTTCATCCTTCAGAGGTGCTCTTTGAGACTTAAAAAATAATTTAAAAAAATACTATGCAGAGAACTCTCCCTGATACCAAGACATAAGGAGGCATTTCCCTGAATTTCTGAAAAATTTAAGTATTTTAATAATAAGATGTAGACTCTGACAAGTAGTGAGTCAGTTCTGAGTACAGAGCAATAGGATTACAAACTAGACATAGCAACAGCTATGTAGGTGCAATTGCTTCAGAATACTCATACAGACAATGTAAAGAAGGACAAATTTAAGAGAAGTTCTTTATCTCAATTTTTCCTACTTTGTGAAGAAATTGGGATAAAGTGATGTTTAGAAATAATTTTTCAAAAGCAATTTATCTAAAAAGGTCTGACTGAGTAAATGTAACGCTTAATAAGCTTTGTCTAAGAAACTAATGGTGGGGCAATAAAGAAAAAAATACAGTCTTTTTAATAAAATATAAAAATCCAGTTTCTGCACATGCAGCTAACTTCCTTGTATTGAACCTGATACACCAGCAAGGTATATCTATCTATATATAACTGAGAGCTGAAGTGCACTAATAGGAATGGGGAAGTAATTAAAGTTCAATTACTTGGTATCTATCAATAAACTACTTGATAAGAAGAACGTATAGCCATAAACATTCCATGCTCAGAAATGTGAATAAATTACACTCCTGTGATGTAAAACTGATCACGTCCAAATGATTAATTGAAATGTGCTTCCCTCATCCACGAACCAGATAGAGAACAAGTTTTTGTATGATTTGGTACCTGGCAAAACTGGTGGAATCAAAGACTGCAACAATTCATTTTACTTCTGAAATCATTTAACAAGGCACTGTTTTCTGAGAGAAGGTAACATGCAAGGCAGCTTTGGTCAATTTGTTGACCAAGTTTTAAGTCAGTGAGGTCAGCAGGCATTGTTTTTCTTGAAAAAGCATTCTTATATTTTACTGAATAAAAATATCAATTACAAGGCAATTCAAGAAGTAAACACCACAAAACTTTTCTCATAGGTGTGGTTTCAGTAATAGGTATTTATGTAAGACTAACTTCACTACATTACTCCTGCTAGCTCTACTATGACCCTTGTCCAGAGAGGCTGGGAAAAGCAAGTCTATTCTGCAATTAGCAAGGAAAGGGAAGAATAAGCATAGAGTTCATGTTTATAAACTCCAAGCAGAAATCACTGTTTTTACACACAAGAACTTCCAGATGCTTGCTAAACAAGGAAGTAAGACTAAAAGTCTTCAGTAAGGTACAAACATGTAAAGGCAAACTCAATTACTCTACTAATGCACGACTGCAAATGGCTAATCCAATTAGCTATGAATGCTAGTAGTATATGCTGTAGAGCTGTGGCAATTACAATTTTTGTTAATGAACATTTTAGAGGAACATACTTAACCCAGACCATTCATCATCAACAGGGGGCTGAGTGTGACTCAAATCCCATGGAAAATCAGAAGTACCAGCCTGAGAAACCGATTCACTGTTGGATCCTGAAAGGGAATAAATGAAATTGTAAGTTGCAAACTTCCTGAATTATCTTACATGAAGAAATTCAAAGCAAAGTAACAAAGGAAGACAGAAGACTGAAAAACAAACAAACAAACAGACTCTGATTTCAATGACTATACTCTACAGAAAAACTATAAGCTCTTCAAAATTAAATATTTCCAGAAAACTAGAGAAAACAAAGTTAAGTCAATAGACTATGGGGAAAAAAAATACAGATTTTTTTTTTTTTTTAAAACAGCTTTTTTGCCTTGTTATTCACTGATAACTGCTTGTTACGCAGCCCTCAAATATTTGACTTGGTAGAGAGGACTGGGGAAACAAAATCCCTCCCACTGCAAGCAAAGTTCAGGTTTGAGACCACCTGGAGAACCTGAACATCCACAAGCCTATGGATCCCAATGAGATGAATCTCAGAGTCCTGAGGGAAGTGGCTGATATAGTCACAAAATCACTTTCTATGATATTTGAAAAGTTGTGGCAATGGGGTGAAGTAAAATCCCTGTTGACTGGAAAAAAGACAACATCACACCTATTTCTAAGAAGGGTAAAAATGATGATCCCAGAACTAACAATCACTCAGTCTCACCTCTGTGCCAGGAAAGACCATGGAGCAGATCCTCCTGGAAGCAATGCTAAGATACACGGAAGACAGGGAAGTGATACGGGAGAACCGGCATGGCTTCACCAAGGCCATAACCTGCTTGACCAACCTACTGGCCTTGTATGTCACTGCACCAATGGACAAGGGAAGAGCCACTATGTCATCTATGTGGACTTCAGTAAGGCTTTTGACATGGTATCTCACAACATCCTTCTCACCTAATCGGAAAGATATGGATTTGATGGGTGGACTGTTGGATGAAGAACCAGCTGCAGGATTGAGTGCAGATGGTGGAGGTCAATGGCTCCACATCTGGATGGAGATCAGTGACAAGTGACACCCCCCAGGAATTGATGCGAGGCCTGAAACTCTGTAATATCTTCATCAATGACATCAACAGTGGGATCGAGTGTATCCTCAGCAACTTTGAAGATGACACCAACCTGTGGGGTGAGGTCAGCACACCAGAGGGATGGGAAGCCATCCAGAGGGACCTAGACAGGCTTGAGCAGCGGGCCCAGGTGAACCTCACGAGGTTCAACAAATCCAAACACAAGATCTTGCACCTGAGCCAAGGTAAATTCTGTTACCAATACAAAGAGGGGGATAAAAGGATTGAGTGCAGCCCTGCCAAAAAAAGACCTCCGGGTAACGGTGGATGGGAAGCTGGATGTGAGGCACCAATATGCCCTCACAGCCCAGAAAGCCAACCATATCCTGGGCTGCATCAAAACTCTACTCTGTGCTGGTGAGGCCTCACCTGGAACACTGTGTCCAGACGTGGAGACCTCAGTACAGGAGAGACACAGACCTGTTGAAGTGTGCCCAAAATAACACCACAGAAATGATCCACAGAACTGTAAGGACAGCCTGAAACAGCTGGGGCTCTTCAGCCTGGAGAAGAGAAAGCTGCAAGATTACCGAATAGCAGCTCTTCTATATCTAAAGGGGACTGACAGGAAAGAAAGGGACAGACTCTTTAGCAGGGTCTGTGGTGACAGAACAAAGGGAAATGGTTTCAAACTAAAATAGCGGAGAGATTTGGATTGCACATATGGAAGAAGTTCTTTTACATTAAGGGTGATGAGATATTGTAATAGGTTGCCCAGAGATGTAGCGGGTGCCCTGTCCCTGGAGACTTTCAAGGTCAGGCTGATCAGGCCCTGGGCAGCCTGATCTAACTGCAGTGTCCCTCTTCATTGCAGGGGAGTTGGACTAAATGACTCTTCAAAGTCCCTTCCAGCTCTAAGTATTCTATGATTCTACGAATAACAGCATTCTGTAAGATTTGCAGCTGTCTCCTCAAAATGGAAAGCAATAATGTTACAACCCATAGAATTTCAATCACCTTGTGCAACTCTGCAGTTTCATAAAGAATAGCCTAAAATAAAAAGCTAGAAAAACTTGATCATTTGCACTATAGATAAAGCAATTAAATTATTCACTACTAAGAATCAGATTTTCAGTTCAAGTAAAAGTTTCCAGTAGCACAAAGGCAGCATGACAAACAGCAAGACCAATACCAGCTATGATATTAAGTGTTAGACATTTAACATTATTATTTTTGAAAAATAGGGCAAGTAGAAACAATTCAGAAAAAAAACCAAAAAATTAAATCGTGAGACTAAAAGAAATTAGCCTATTTTATGATGAGACTTATTTTTGAAATAAAGAAGTTTAACTAGTATATATGGTCCTATCTGGTTCACTCCAATTTATAAACTCTTCTGCAAAAGATACCTCAAATGACAGGAATCTTGCCACATTCTCACCTTTTGCCAGTTGGTCACAACAGAAATCAGTAAATATTCATTAGGATGGAATTATGACACTGTTGGCTGATGTACAAAGATGATGAACATACTTCACTTATGCTTCTCTCTGAATTAAATCTGGAATGATGCTCTTGCAGATGCATCACAGATCAGACTTTCCCAGTTTAGTAACTGAATTTCCTTAAGTTTCAGAGTAGCAACTGAACTTGAATTCAAGTGGCTCTATTGGAAAATTAGATTTTATTAAAATGCTTTGTCTTAAGCAAAAGGTCTTAATTGTGTAAGCCTTCATTAAGGGCTCTTCGGAAAGTATGGTGAATCAGACCTTGGCATTTACAATTTTTTTATTAAACTGGCACAGAAGTGCACAGAGAACGAAGCACTTGTAAGCTATAAGACAACAAGCACTGGTTTTACAGTTTAAAGATGCAAACTGCAATACAAGTAAAAGTCAAAGCACATGAGCACTCAGCTAGCTACTTTCTAAAAGAAAATAGCCATGCCAAGCTCCATGGTAATTGGAGAAAGCAAGAACAGAAAACCTGACACACAATTCCTTTATTGCATAATAAATCACTGAAGCACTTATGTCAGTAGTGCAACACACAAGATTTGTTAGGAAGCCAGGTTTGCTCTCTACAGCCATTTCATGCTTTAAAACAAGAAAACTCTGCAGTTCAGGTTTCTCATCCATCCTGAAGAGCAAGGACTCGGGAATTTTATGGAACACATTTTTCAAGCAGAGCTTCAGTTTCATGAAGGAAAACAAATGAAGAAACCAACAATCAATGAACAGTAAAATCCCTCACAATTCTGGATAAACAGAGCTTCCTAGAAAGCAATTTCCAGCTCTTCATCTTGAGATGTAGCAATACCAAGCATTTGATTATCAATTTTAAACTTATTTTATTGCATTATTTGAGCATAATAAGAAAAAAGACAAAAAGCTTTCCAGTTTTTCACAAAGCAGGTCTTCTACTTGTTTACGTTTACTACTATTTTTCAAAAGACCATTGAAAAAAGATACAAATTAATATTTGGCAAATTCTATTTCCATCTGGTAGGGAACAGAGAGGAGGATCTTTGGAAGCATATACATACCAGAAACTCCAGGAGTTAATCCAAAAGAAGAGAAAGAAGTAGAATTCTGTTCAGAGGTATTAATCCTTGCATCTACCTTCCAAGCATCTGTGGGAAACATAGGGGGAAAAAAACAACAACAACAAAAAAAAAACACAACAAACTTCACACTGCTGGCAATGTTGAAGAAGTTTGCTATTTAATGATGAACAGAGTGAGAAAAACAGAGGAAGTTCTAGTCACGTTAACATTCTACAAAACTGAATTATTTTGATTATTAATGATAAAATCAGTGCTGTTAAGAGACATGAATGTGTGAACATTTAGACTGAAGTAATTTTCAAACCATCTTCCTCTCTCTACAGGCTTTTCTATATGTAACAGTTTTTTTTTCTATAAAATCTTAAGTTGATTGTGTTTTCAGTCCCATACTGCTGTAATTTTCCCCACTATAATTACCTGAGCTATTAAAAATCTTATGTTAGTTCTGTAGATTACATCTAGCTTACAGAAAATTGCTTATATGTCATATATCTGACATATAGGAGATGCCGATTAAAAATCAAGATGTATTTGATTGACTCTGAAGCATAAAGCAGAAAACAAGGCAAAATAACCAGTGGCACAATTGTGTCAAAAGAAACAGATGGTAAGACCTTGATTACAAATAAAAGCTACCAAGAGTTTAACAAGCTACAAAACAGAATAAATCAGGATGGAAAGGATCTCAGTAGGTACCCAGTACACCCTCCAGCTCTGAGGTCAGACCAGGATGCACAGCATTCTATCCAGCTGGGCGTTAAAAACTTCTAAGGATGAAGACTGGTTACCCAAAAAGGCTGTGCAAGGGCTGCCTGACAGTAACTCTTCCTATTTATTATGTCGCCCCACAACGTCAGAGGCAGATGTTGGTGGTATGGCAGTAGAGGATGAACTCCCACCAATATTCCCTTACATCTGTTGCCATGTGTCAGGTATTAGCAGAGAGGCAGTCTGACAGAACATCATTTGACACTGTAGCACACATGAAATAAAGGTATGTCACTGAAATTCTCCACACCAAAAGAATTCTGACATTTATGGACGCTTCATGAATGTACATTTCAGCTGTGGCAAAAATGATATGAAAGCCACATTCAACTCATCCGCATGAATTAGCTAATGGCAGTGATTGTGGTAAAAAACAGTATTTTGTGGCTGGGAATTTGCTCTACAGGAGTTGTTATACCCTTTGTACCTGATGTAGTTTCCACAGAAATAAAAAGGAGGCATTACTTTCGGAGCAACCTACACACAATGCCTTGTGGTGAAAAAGTTTCTGCTTACATTCAGTCCAAATCTACTGACTCATCTTTCTACTGTACACCACTGTACGGTGGGTTCTATCTTCCCAGAAACACCTCACAGGTTCTAGAAGGCTGCTATTAGGCCCTCTATTAGGTCCTCCTGAAGCCTTCCTTTCCCCAGGCAAGATGAGCCTCATTCCTTTACCTTTCCCTCACAGGGCAAGTGCTCCAACAACTGACCATTTCTGAGTTTGCTGCATTCATTCCAGTAGATCAATAGCCTTTCCTCACAGGGGAGCCCCCACACTGGGTACAGTATTCCAGATTAGGTCCAAGAAGTGCTTAGTAGAAGGGGATAATTACTACCACAGTTGACTGACTGACTCCTATTAATACAGCCCTGAACACTGCTGGTGTCCACAGCTGCCAGGGCCCACGGCCAGCTGGCTCATTTCTATCTTCGTGTCCACCAGTTCCCTTCTTTCCATTGAAGCTGCTTCCCAGACTGTCATTCCCCAGCTCGGGTTTCCTCCTTCCCAGGTGCAGAACTTCACATTATATTTGTCCTTGTTCTAGTTTGGTTGGGCCATTCTACCAGCCAGTTTATGTCCCTCTGGATAGCACCCCTGATCTGGATGGCATCAGCTGGTGCCTCAAGGTTTTCTGTAATCTGGAAACGTGATGCAGGTTGCACTTCATCATCTCCTTCAGATCATTTACAAAGATGATAAAGGCCTGGGATACTCCATTGTCAGCCTCCAGGCAAAGTATGATCTCTGAACCTAATCATTTTTTCCAACCATCCATAGCTGAACCCCCTAACCTGGATACAGAACATGCTGTTAGAGACAATACTGAAAGCACTTCTGAAGTTATGGAAAAAGGATATCCACTGCTCTCCACCTACAAATCCTGCCATTTTACCAGAAGCATATCAGCCTGGTCAAACATGATCTGTTCTCCATAAGAAAACAAGATGTTCTGTAACACTGTATTAGAATACAAAGCACCGCCTGATAGGACGGGGGGGAACAGTCATAAACTAAAAGAAGGGAAATTCAGACTAGATTTCTGGGAAATCTTCCACTGAGAGGATGGTGAGGTGCTAGAACAGACTGCCCAGGAAAGCTGTGGATGCCACATCTCTAAAGGCGTTCAAGGTCAGATTAGATGGAGCCCTGGGCAACCTGATCTAGTGCCTGATTAAATAATTGGCAGCAGGTTTAGGATTAGATGATCTTTGAGGCCTCTTCCAACCCAAGCCATTCTGTGATGTAAGCAGAATACAGCTTTCTGGAATATGAAGAAATATATAGAAACCAAAGCACGCCTTTGCTTCAACTTGGCAACAATAAAGCTGCCAACAGAAATCCTTCCAACAGTCCAGATTCAGGTGCCACACTTCAAGATATGTGGGACAAATGCAATCTGTGTAGACTTATAGCAGTGCTTCTGACTACAGAAGAACAATGACTTCCAGAAGTGACTAGGATCTGAACAGTGGGAAAAACAATATTACAGTATCTACTAAATAAAAAGGCTGTTCTACAGACAAAAGAAAAAAATCTCTTATTATTCAGAACAGTGTAAGTAACAAAGGCTAAAAATTGTACTACAAAAGATTAAAAAATAATTTCTAATGAGAAAAAAGGGGAAAAAAAAAATAATCAGTGAAACGCTAAATCTGCCACAAGATCTAAATACTCTTCTTTTCTGAAATCTAAACAAATGCCTGACAAAGACAAAGAACCATAGAATTGGCCCGGGTTGAAAAGGACCACAAAGATCATTCAGTTTCAACCTCCTGCTATGTGCAGGGTCACCAACCAGCAGACCAGGCTGCCCAGAGCCACATCCAGCCTGGCCTTGAATGCCTCCAGGGATGGGGCATCCACAACCTTCCCAGGCAACCTGTTCCAGTGCTTCACCAGCCTATGAGTGAAAAAATTCCTCCTAATACCAAACCCAAACCTCTCCTGTCTCAGTTTAAAACCATTCTCCCTTGTCCTATCACTGTCCACCTTAATAAACAGTTGTTCCCTCTCCTATTCAAGAAAGCCACAGTGAGGTCTCCCTGGAGCCCTCTCTTCTTCAAACTAAGTCTAGCTGGTTTGATTGTGTTATGTCAACAGACCACATTAATGTCATAAGAAATATGTTAAAAAAAAGTTGCATTCCACAAAGACTTAACTATGCAACTTCAGAATTTTAGGAAAATAAGAAAATTGCTTCCTCCAAATAAATAATTTTATTTCAGATAAAGTCCAGTCAAGCTGTAATCAGAAACATAGATGATGTTTCATAGATCACAGATGAAGCCATCAGAACTTAGAAGAAACAGAAAATGCTTAGCTCACATTTCACTACACCATTCAATTATTATTCTAATATATTAGAATATATATAGCAGCGTAAAGCTATTCAGGAATTCATTACAAAAAATTATGTAAGAACATTTAAGTGATGCAATTTTTTCTCAGAACAGCTTACCAATGGGAGTGAACAAAGAACGCTCCTTCCAGGGCCTGCTCACCAGGGTTACACCCCAGTCCTTTCCATTCCCGTTTCCATCTGCAGCATCTTGGGCCCAGGCAGATGTCTCAGTCTTCCTCTTCCCAGCTGTAGCTGAGGAAACAGGAGTCCATTTTTCCTCTCCTACACCAATCTGTGAGGAGATTTTTACAGGCTTCTCATTCCAGCTTCCACCATTTACTGTATGGCTTTCATTTAATCCTGGGGAAACTTAAATAAAAGCATAATAAAAACAGCATTTAAAATACAAACTGGACGAATAATTAAACAGAACTTTTTTTTCTTTTAATTCAACAACAAAAGGGATAATTTCTCTTACATGGTGATCTGATGGTTTGTAGAGTCTCATGCGCTGAGCAGGGAGTAATTTCTTTTTGGTAACTATGGTAACATACAACAGTACTCCAAGCACAAAGTGAAAGAAATGACCAAGGAGTAGAAAATGCTTTCTGAATGCTATGTGGAAATTACTAGCAGCATAGCTATCATTAACTAGAGTCCATCAACTTAGTGGAAAAAGAACATGGTAAGACCTCACTAAGGTCACAAGCCCTGGCCTACAACAGTCTACTGCACCAAGGAATTACTAGTCAAGGCAAGTTTCATACATAGTTTCAAGAACTCACTTCCTAAACATGACAAACCTTCCTCAAAGGGCCCTATCAGTTTTTTTTTTTTTTTTTTTTAAAGAAATATGCATCATAAAACAAGAAAACTGCCAATCTGCATGTTATTTGTATATCAAGAACACAACACAAATACTCAGCTACATCAGCATAACATGCTTACAAAAGCTACAGACAAAATATTTTATTTCACAAATAAATTTCACTCAGGCAGCAAAAAGACATTCAAGGCAGCATCACTGGAAAGGAAATTATTTGCTGAGTTGTTACTACATGTTCCTAGACAAATCCTATTTCCAAACACAGACATCTGTAACATCCCAATCCCTGCATCTAGAACTACTGCTCTTTATCTACCCAACTCCAGAGCTGTTACATTCCGTCAATAAACATCTCACAGAAGACAACAGAAATAGCAAACACACAGAAACTATAGCATAGCTGGTAAAGCAACTGTTTCGCAGCCTTGCAAGAAGACAGCTGAAGTCCTAAAGTAAAAGTCTGATTATGTTTATCAAACTGTTCTCACATCACTTACATAAATTTTTTGTACAACCAGCAACTTTTCACAGAAATTACAGAAAACTTAAGGTTGGAATGGATCTCTGGAAGTCACTAAACTCCACCTTCTGCTAACTGATGTACAGTTAACTTTGAAGTTTTATCACTTTACTCAAGTTCTGGAAATCATTAAGGCTGAGAGTTCAAACCACCTCTGGGCAAACTTACTAAGAACTTTCCTTCTCATTCTCAGACAGAATACTCCTTACTGCAACTTAAATCATTGCCTCCTACAGAGCTTTGAAGCTCTGTAGAATATGGCTTCTCCTTTCTGAGCTATGGTCCATGAAGTCAGCATGCGAATCAAAGCTCTCAAGAACTAGCAGTGATGCACTCTGGACCTGGGTGCTTTCAATAGCTCATCTGTTGACTTGCCTTAAACACAATGAGTGTTCTTGGTTAAAGAAATACTATGAGTGTTGGCTGTGAAAAACAATCACCTTTGTTCACAATACCAAAATTTAATCACCACCACGTCAATGTCTCTTATCAAGAAGCCACTAAGATTCACCACCCAAATCATAGTCTAACATAGCGAAATTACACATATGACAAATAAAGTCATTCTCAAAATGAAAGCATTTACAGCACGGTTCTCAAAGGAGAATGGAAAGAGCTGAATAACCCAAGCATGCATAACCTGCAATGAGTGCAAACTATGAAAATCAGGACTTACCTTTGAAATAAGCTAACATGTATTAATTCTTTATGTCAGTAACTCATTAACAGAAAAAAGTAAGTTTGAAAAACCAGCAAAAGGGGATTTTTAACCAGAGCTTGAGAATAAGCTTTATTGTTCTGTAAGTAACGTGTGCAGCAGATAATCTGCATGAAATTTCTAGGCACTTTTTGTTTTATACACCCCAATAGATGTAAGATCACTTTCCACATGTTAAGCACCACCTGCAACTTAGAAATATAACATCTGCATAGCTAAAAAAGCCAGCTGCATAATAGAGTTCTAAATTAGTAACCATGCAACACCCTGCACTGACAGTTTGTTTTCACTTCCTTAAAACACATTTCCAGTTAATTAGGATGCCTAGCAACAAAAACCTTTTACCTTGTGGAACTGACGATTCCCCCTTTGAAGGTTTAGAGCTGCTAACTTGCACATTCAAAAGAGTATCACCTGGAAAAGAGGTAGGAGACAGAGCTAGAGTACGTTTTTGCAAAGACCAGCAAACATGTGAGCATTCATTATTTAGATATCTAAAGAAAACACAATTATCAGTACCTCAAAGTAAATGAAGCTATTTCCAGGGAACTCAAGAATAAAAATAATGCTGTTTCTCATACCGTTGATTCTTATAGACAGATTAAACACTTGAAGACCATTACAGGCCTACACAGCCAGTAACTGCACATTTCAAATCATTCTAGCTATGGCTTCCTTAAGAACAAGGAGCAGAAATCCAAAACAGAAGCTGCAAGTTTCCAACCAAGGGAAGCTCTAAGTAGCTCAGAAACATAAAGCTATTTCTAACCTTTGCCTTACCATGAGAACACGAGACATAACTGATTCTTTTCATATTGATCTGGTACAGTGATACCTTAAAACATATGCACAGGGGGCTCTGTCTAAAGAGGTTACAGTAGTCATGCACTGCCAGAAATACCTACAGCTGAAGTTATTTGTTGAAGATGTTTGTACATAAATGGATAAAATATGGAAAACTGGAAACAAATGATCCAATTTTCAAAGAGCAAGCCACTGGTGCAAACAAGCATCAGTTAAAAAAACCAAATCATTAAAGCATGGAAGTTTCAATATATTATTCTCAAGTACAAGACAGTAGCTAGGTTTGGTCTTCTTGTCACTTTCCTAGAACAACAAGTTTCATGAAATTAGAGAGTTAAATGTATTGACAGGCTAAAAGTATGCTACAAAGCTGAACTATGCCTGTATTCTTCTAGCTTCTGCTCAGCTACAGCCAAATATGAGTTCCTATGCCTACACACTCTTTAAACCCATGCAACTTTCTGAAACAGCAGCAGCCACAAAAGCTTACATTTCCCTATTGAAACCTTAGCTGCCACAACTGACTACTGAACTTCAGCCAGATGCCCCACCACCATGAATCACTTCAATCCAGGCACTAATGAACTAGAAACTGAAACAAAAATCTACATGTTAAGCAGTAAATGACATCAGTAGAGAACTCATAGGCATGATCTTGCCACAAGGAAATAATCAATAATTTGAGAAATTGGTGCTGGCTGCAACAGTGCTGTGGGTGAGTTTCAAGCTTCCAGGATCATCAAGGTCAGAGCCAGTGGAGCACAAACATGGGAGTAGAGATGTATGGCCTGCCTCTGCCATTTACCCCAGAATGCCTTCCCCTGAGCTCTCCCACGAGTGGCTCAAAAAATGGTATTTCTGAACACTGAAAACTAATCTTTACATGGCTTGAAATAATCTTCTCTCGAGTTACATCTCCAAATATACCAACTATACTTCCAACACAGTCACTATTTAAGCATTCAAGCGTTTTCCAGAAATCTCTAAACCATCATACCTTTATTTTTTCTGAGACCAACTGGAAGTGACGGTGGGGGCATGAGTTGTTCAATGGATACAGCAGCTGTGTTCTCTGTCCCCTGGAGATTTGATTCTCCTGAACCACCATCAGTCATCACCTTGTCGCGCTTGCGCTGCTGACGCTTTTCTCTGTTACTGATTTTCGTTTCCCAGGTTCCTAAAATGTTCCCCAAAGTGAAAACATCACAAAGTTAAAGAGAAAAAAAATGACAGTTTTACCTTGTTTCCTATCAAGCTGAAGACTGAAAACAGGTTCAGTTTAAAAAAATAAATAAATAATCACAGACGTGGCAGTCAACTTCAGCATTAGTCTGAGAAAACAAATGACTGGCCAAAGGTAAGTGTTGTTCTGGATGCAACGCAATAATCTGCCTTACAAAGCAAACATGGATAAAATGAGCTATTATTTGTGACTACTCTCAGTTTCTGTAAGTTTAACAACTTCAACTGCTTCACTAACAGCTCAACAAACTTGTTTCAAAGATCAGATTTCCATTAACATGAGATTTAACAGAATTCCATAGGTATGACAAAATGAGTTTCCCATTACTGAATCACATGCAAGTAGTTCTTAAGTAGCACAGGAGTCAAAATAAACCTAACTACATTTTGTGCTCAGTACCTTCATCAGCTTCCTTTCCATCTAGACGTGATGAATCGGGAGCTGTTTTAGCATCTCCCTTTGATTTCTTTTTCTTCTTTGACTAGGGAAAGAAAAAAAGCATTATCTTAATTACTTAGCGAACACTACAGCAATTTAGATTTTCAAAACAAACAAACAATCAGTAGAACACAGGCAAATTTGAATAGATTTTCCTTAAAATCTCCTGTGCAGACAGTTGAAAATGAAAAATGTACCAAAAAATACCGATTCCTAAACAAACTAAGATTGCTGAGGGACATGAAAGACTTGCACAGTATGCAAGTATTAGGAGCAAGCACTTATTCTACAGAGTACAAATCCCAGAGGGAGAAGCTAAGCTGGGAGAGTTCTAATCACAGAGGAATATGTACTATTTGGCAGAAAGATTCCATTCTAGCAAAATGTGTATAACGTTTTACGTGAAGAATAAAAGAATCATAGAATCATAGAATTGCTCAGCTTGGAAAAGATCTGAAAGATCACTGAGTCCAACCACAACCTGACCATACCACCCTACCTCTAAAAACTCTCTGCTAAATCACGTCCCTGAGCACCGCATCCAAACAGTTTTTAAACACGTCTGGGGATGGTGACTCAACCACCTCCCTGGGGAGCCTATTGCAGGGCTTAACAACCCTTCTGTAAAGAGGTGTTTCCTGATATCCAACCTAAACTTACCCTGGCACAACTTGAGGCCATTTCCCCTCACCTGTCACCAGTGAGAAGAGACCAACCCCGCTCTCACTGTAAGCACCTTTCAGATATTGGAAGAAAGCGATAAGGTCTCCCCTCAGCCTCCTTTTGCCCAGACAAAACAGCCCCAGTTCCTTCAGTCACTAAAGAAGGCCAGTGACATCTTTAAAAAAAGAGAACTCCAGCATGGAAAATGACTTCAAAGTTGCAACTATGATTGCAGCCCATACAATATTTATACAATTTGTTTGTTTATATTAAGGTTTCTACTGTCATTGCTTCCTAGCTATACAGTCAGAAGTAAACGAATAGGAACAGAGATGACAACCTTTGCCAGTAGTTTTGGTGCAACAGGTAGTTGAAGGAGGAAAAAGAAAAAGAAAAATGACACAAGAATCAAAAGAGAGTATAATATAGAAAAGCCCCAGAATTCAATGTTTTGATAAGCTAAAGTGATGACAAAATGACTTGCTTGCCTCCTTGGAAAGAAAAGACAATGCTGAAAAGCTTTTCAATCTAGTGAAGAAGTACTAGATAAATCTCAATGAAAAAAAAAAAGCAAGTTGTTAAAGAGAGAAGGCTATTTACTCAAATTAAGCTCCAGCTCTCACTGTTTCACTTTTTTTGTATGAATATACTAACAGTATTCCCAGCATACCAGTGTCTTCCTGGACATTGAGAGCAAGCCTAATAACTGGGCAAAGCCTAATTGCCTGCTTTTCACTTGAGTTCAGACTACACAATTTGCAAGTCTTAGATATACTCTTTTTGAATATCTATCTCTCTAGGATTGCTAACAACCAAGTTAACACCACAGTTGCAGTAGATATCTCATGGCTCCAAACTGCTATGTAATGTACATGCCTTTGAGTAGCATGCTCCAAAACAATCACACAGCTTCAACATTGATACTGATAGCAGCACAGCTTGTTGATGCAGCGCCACAGCTAATACAAACACCACTGGTTGTATGTAGTGCTGTATCAACATACCTGTAGCACTTACAGAAGTGACCAGAGCAGTTAACTCACTGCTTACTGCATAATATGCATACAAACAGAATTATCTTCTAAGTTTGCTCAGCAGACTACATTTACCCACATACTGGCTATTTAGCTTCTGGAGTCCCCAAAAAAGTAGGGCCAGTTTCAAAAGCAATCTGGGAAGAAGTGGTTCCAAAAACATGAATAACCCAGATTACCTGCCAGAGCACTTCCCAAGTAAAGAATTAAAAATGACAGCAGACAACATGAAAAACTATTATGGCTTGCTTCTTTCAACTAAATTTGAAAGGAGATTGGTGACTTTATCGTATATTCATTTTCCATTCTCAGCTACATTGAGATTGGAAGTTGAGAGATGTCCACAAAGCCATCACTGCTCATCTGTCCTTTGATACTAAGGGAACACCTCAGAAGTCATCACAGGTCTTTCAGATAGAGAAGCAGTCAGCTTAAACAGCTAAGTCATAACTTCAGTTTCTTAAATAACTTGATTTTACAGAGAAACAAATTTTACACTTCTCATGAAAATCCAGTGTTTTGCAGGTTTGAAAACAAGGTTTGTTTTTCAAAAAGTCAATGATTTAAATATTGAAGAGATACTTGCTTTCTTAGTCTCAGTCACTACAGCTGAATCTCTAAAGCTAGAACTGTAATTAGGTACCACTTATTCATCACCTGCAAAACTGAGTGCTGTAACAGCCATTATTATCTTGGTTACAAACTGACTGCCAAAGGTTAAAGACATTAAATGTTTTTGAGCAAACAAGCCAATCATTTTGCAAGAATCCTACTCATTCAAAGTGTCAGCTTCTGCAACACAGAAAGCTGCCAGTGTTGGGTCTGCCACCAGCCAAAGAGAATATGAGGAACTTGGCAGGCTGGCCAAAACTTAGGTCTGTAAAACAAATGCTCCCACCCCAGCCCCACAACCCACAAGAACAAACTATAGAAAAATAAGCCTTTCTTCTTCATCCCCAATGGGCTGTTTATTTCTAGTATTCAAGACAAGGCAGTTTTGTGTACTGACAAACAGAACAGGCTTCTAAGATCTTTCAGTCTCATTAGAAAATACTTTTTTTGACTCTTTTTAAGTTCCACATACTAAAAGCTAAAGCACTCTGTACCATGCAAGTCACTAAAATGGAAAAAAGGGAAGAAACTATTCAGTGTCGAAATGATGAACTGTATGAAACAACCACAACTGAGCCATCATCCAAAGCTTCCCCTCCTCACAAAGCAGAACAAGAAGCAGCATCTATTGTGAAAAAACATCCACGAACCTCACAACGCTGAAAAAGGTAAGAAATACTGAAGCAAGCGAAGTGCTGTTTTTCACCAAAAGCATATATTAAAGCACAGCAGTAACATAAAAATCATACCCTTCAGGTCACAGATAATATATATATATAACATATATTCACATATATCTACGCACACGCACTGCTTAAATCCCAGCCATCAACTTAAACCACCCACCTAAAGCCATACAAAGAAAGAACACCTACACAGGACCCCCAACATTCTCCTGAGCAGGCATATAATGTTACAAACACAACAGATGCCCCAAGAGGCTTAACCAAATAATTAGATGTCTGTAAAGTTACACGTAGCTTACAGCAAGTTCTTGGGGCTGTTTTTAACTGAAGGGCAACAATCAATTTCTGAGGCAAATATGCTTTCCCAGGCTTCCTCAAAGAGCTATGAAAACCCAATCTGGGGAAGGAGCGTAAGAATCTATGTACTGACTTCACAGAGCTGCAGCTTCAGTTTAACATTTCAAAATTCACATTACTATGCTGGCAATTTCACGGTAAGGCTCAAGTTGAGTATTTAAACACCTTACATACTGGGAAAGCCACTTAAGATAAAGTGAAAGTTAAGAATATAAATGCAGTTACTCCTTTAGGATCCCATTTTGTTCTGCCCTTGAAAAAAAACCCACAAAGTCAATCTGATATGTGACTCATGGAGAAGAAAAAGCAGCGTGCTGCATGAAATTTTAAGGCAAAGCCATTTCACAGAGAAGTCTGTTTGCAATGATGAAAGCTTTCAGAGCTCTATAGCCAACTGACACGATACAGTTAACTCACAGGTACAGTTTGTGCTTTAGCCAACATACTAACTGCAAAACAAACAAACAAAAAAAAGTCAAACTTAAAGAGCTTGAGTGAGCTAAACTCATTACAGTAACTAAATACTGTTTTCTGACTGCTTGAGCATACTAATTTCTCTTTCCAGTACTCCTCAGTAAAGGCAGAGCAAATGCATTTTTGAAGAAAATGATTCTATTAATTTATGCTTAAATATATCAAACGATTTGAGTTACATTACTTTGTCAAAATATGTGCATATATTTTTTTTTAAATTGTGATCTTTTTAATCAGCCCTATTACACAAGAATACAAAGAAAACCAACAACCTTTACCAGATCAGAACAAAACTGACAGCCTAGTCTTCACTGCAGCACAAGCCAGGATATCTATTACGCATCTTCAGAAATCCAGGCCAGAAGGAAAATTTCACATACAATGTTATCAAAAAGAACCAAAATAAAATTTTTGGTCAGAGGCCTACCATAAATCCACTTATGTTGCCTAGGAGGGAGAGTATTTGTGATAAAGCTAGAAGAGACTGGTCCTTAGGGGAAAAAAAAACCAACAACAAACCAAATACTTAGTATAGTTACCTTTTATGCAAAGCTACAGATTGTGCTTGGAAAAGGATGTTCTAACACAGCTGCTCAATTTGCATAACAAAAAGCTCGAACCAGACTTCAAAGCCCTTATTTGTCACCAGAAATTAAGATCTCCAAACACTAGTGGATACATCTGACAAAAGAAATAAGCAAGCACAAGGTCTCAATCCTTTCAATAGTAGTTCCTCTATTGTTGTGCCACTTAACAATACTATCATTACACTGTACCTCCACAGAAGCCAGCAATGATTAAACAAACTTAATTTCTCTAGGATTAACATTTCCAAATTGCTAACAACGTTATCAGTGTTCAGCATGGGGTTTGTTTTGCTTGATGCAAACGACCCATGATAAGGCATGATCTCAGAAGTTAAGAAAATACTGCTGGCTCTTTCCAACACATTAGATTATTGCTCTTCATAGCAAGAAACACGTCCCCTTGCTCATATATAAGCAGTATGAATTCCAATCACAAGCAGAGCTACACGATATTGAAGCGATGTGCATTAAACTTCCACGTTTTCATTTCAAACCCATGACTGACCTTTTCATTCTTCTTTTCTGCATCCGATGGCTGCTTTGTATTTTCCTTACGGACGGGCTGTATCACTTCATCCTCAGATACATCAAGGAAAGACCGTCCATTAGGCTGCGCAAACAAGAAGGGCAGTTAATAAAAAAAACTGGAGAAAGCAGAAGCAGCAAAGCTTGAGCAACATAATTACTGAAACAACTGTTTGTTGACTGAGAAGTACCTGTGAGCACAGGGAATTTTGGATAAGGACTCGAGGTATTTGCAGCAATTGCACATTTACCAAATGTACAAATGAGAATGGAAACAAAACAGAAGTTCCTTCATTTTATCTCCGTTCTCACAGGAATTACTAATCAAAATGCAAATTTCAAGAAGTTACTAGCTTTCAGAACAGCTACATCTGCATGTGTTGCAAATTAAGTCATTAAATGAGCATATTTAGCACTTTGTGGCAGTTCAGGAATGAGCTCGAATTTTTCTAAATTACTCCTAGCTTGAACAAATTTCTGCACTTTATTCTCCAAATCTGTGCATAACCCTCACTTCCTTCACAAGTTCAACTTCATAGAACATAGATCAGAAGTCAAACATGCAGCACAAACAAAGGCTATCCCCATTGTTCTGTTCAGACAGTCAGACTTTGTTAGCCTACCATTTTCCCCTCACATAGTAATAAAGGGAAGGAAACTGGCATGTATTACTTTCCAAAAGTTGCCATGATAATGAAGTTAAACTCTGCACAGCCATTAGTCTCATCATCACCTTTGGCAGGAAAAGCAAATGCTTTGGCTTGCACACTGCCTATGCAGAAATACAATAATCTAAAGTATTATTCTGCTAGACACTAACCTAATTGGGTGAAAATCAATTTTCAAAGGTATTAATTGATACTGTGTCTACACAAGTTTCTTGTTATTCATAATGACTTCTGCATCAAACTTCCACCTAATTTAGCATGATAAGCACAAATAACTACTTCACAGTTGCTTTACTGTCTGAGGCAAAAATGTTTCCTGTGTAAAAGATCAATTCAAAAGAAGCTTAAACAAATTCACGTATGATCATTATTTTGTTTATTAAAAAACATGAGCTACCTTACCTCTGCATTACACCACTCCCCACTTTAACTGGAATTATGTCTTGCCATGCTATATTATGCTTACAGAGCACCCTTGGCATGCTCTCACCAGAGCATATCATAGTATTGCTTACTGTAGCCGGCTAGCATGCCAGCTTGTTATTTTGTACCTATTAATAGAAATTGAAAGATCAGGTCACTCAACTCCTCCTTTGCAATAACCTGCCTTAAATTAGGCTTTTTATATCTAACTTGCAACAGATCCCTCAGCATTCTGAAAATGAAATATATTTTCTAGAACTGCATCTCAGAACCATCCAGAAGTTCCTCTCACAAAGCTCCCAGAACAAGGCTCCACAGAGACACCAAGGAGTTGACATTCAATCTTGGAAAATAACCCATAGCCAGCATGAGTTCTTGAACCTGATTTCCTCTAGATGCCATACAGCTCTGCTGTTAGTGGCAGGATGCCTTTTAATCTATGGCAATACCCACGATGTTTCAAGTCTGAAGGAAGAATGTGGGTTATTCAGCACTGTATCTAGAGAGTAGAGCTGCCACATCTGCTCTCAGAATTGCTTCAGAGATGTTCACAGCCCGCTGACTTCTTTTAGATCTGCACAGGGCTTTGTTTTGCTTCTTTGGTATAACATACATACCTTCAGTGCGAAAATCACACTCTATCAACATTTCAATTTAAGTTTTAATGCTCACTTTCGAAAACAAACAGCCATTTCTCAGAGGAAATAAACTAATTCATACCCAGTAGGAACCCTCCACAAAAACTCACCCACTTAAAACCACTGACCACTTGAAACACTGTTCGATCATCTGATCACGTAAACAGCAGCCATCACAAGTACGTTCTAAAATCCATACTCTCACAGAAACCGCATTTCTCCCTGAATATTTGTAATATCTGCCTTCTCGGTGGAAGCTTTCCACATTTTATTCCTGCCCACAGATGAATCATAGACTTTTAAGCAAAATTCATGTGACCATTTTTGGATATAACAGTAGCAGAAGCTTCTCCATAGTATTCAAGGGCATTTCTTTTAAAAATGCAACAACAGCCTAAAAGGCAAAGCTTAAGACTTCACAGTGATACATACCCAACTTCCATCAACAATATTAATTCATCCAATTGCTGCAGTTTATTATATATCATCTTCTTTTGTCTGATTCAAACAGCTACAGGAAGACGTGAAAATGTCAGAGCAGGAATGATGCTGCCTATAATATTCATTTCCAAACAAACTTCTGAACTTGCCTGCTGAGCTTAGTACTCCACTGTTTAAATAAACCTTTCTCATCCCATACTCCCTATAGAGGGTGTTAAGATAATCCAGAAGTAGAATAAAGGTATTGCTGAGATTGAGTGCTAAAATAAAAAAAAAAATAGTGTTCTTTCAATACAGTACAGTGCTATGGATACCTCAGTTTCACACTTAAGAAAGCAGAAATGAAATTACTGTCATTTGAGTTTTACAGGGTCTTATTAGTCCTTAGTTGCACATTATAGAGCTATGCCTACCGACAGTATTTTCGGCCAACGAAAGAATCCATTTACCACTATTTCCTATAAGCTTTTAAGAAAGCAACAAAGCTATTTTCCCTTGAAGCACCAGACAGTCCGACAGCCTCTCTCCTCCTGCAATCTGACAGGCACAACATGCGAGTATCAGTTGGAAGTATGAAAAAGCCTTTATGCAGCATATTTCTAGGTGCAAAAAGCGTAGTCCAAGAAGTTCTTTCAAGGAGGCCAAATAGAAAGCTTTCCCAAATGAATGCCAACGCCTGTACTGAAAGCAAGTATTAGCATGTATCCTTTACTATACAGGTACACTTCAACCTACAGGAAATAAATTGCTAGTTTGGTATTTTTGTGCACACGTAAAGAGATTTTTTTTTATTATTATTTTTTATTTATTTATTTATTTATTTTACAAGCTATAGCAGAAAACAGAAGAGGATTATTCTAAAGTTTCCATGGCGTTTTTCAGATTGTGAAGATACCACCTAAGAACAGATTCCACCTTTTTCTACTGAAGGTTTAAGAAACGTTAATGAATGCTAAACCATAAAGCTTCATTTTATCTCAGTCTATCCACAGCAAGTAAACAAACAGAACCACATTACTGCTGCTGCAACCAGTCCACTCAGCACTACTCAACTAAATTTATTTTACTAACAATATCAGTTAGATTATACAGTACCCATAAAAGAGCTGAACAGAGCTAAACTCATGAAACAAGACAGTGATATTCCTCCTTGGAAAGGGTACAGCAAAGAATGTTTCTGAGCCTGACTGACGAGAGTTACGCATCACTGTCATACAATGAGCTCAGTAACTCTATATTAAAGTAACCCTACAGCTTTTAATTAGACATCTGGAGTGCGCTTTTTAATGCTGCAGACCAGTTGCTCTAAGCTTTCTGTAATACCTGTAATGGAAATCTAGACTCTGGTATGGCAAGCCCTCTGGTAAATCTACTGATAATAGGCTTACTCTTTTTCCTCCACAGACCTCATCACCAGCAGCACAGTATAGAAAAAATACAACATGAAAACCAACATGCAGCCTTTGGTAGGAATCTCTGTTCCATTTTTAAATTCACAAAGTTCTCCTGTAAGTTCTTTATTGTGAAACTAAGTCAGAAAACACCGGGACGTGCAAACACCAGTCGGTCCTTATGAGCTTATGATGGGTAATGAGCACAAGGCAGGCCTATTGAACTTCACTGCTGTTAGAAACTTATTTGCACTATAGTTAATGATTTAGTTTATGCATTTTCTTTTTTGAGAAAGTTGTTTCCCACCCCCCCCCAAATTTTGCATGGAAATAATGGTTACAGAGCACTATGAAAATAACTTTTAAGATCTTGAGAATATAGAATGTCAGCTTCACAGCTAAAAAATATTTTTACTCTTTTCTGGCTGTAAAGCTGTCTGCTCTTACATAGCCTCAATTCTTACTATTTTGCCTGAGAAAACCAAGCCTGAAACAATACAATATTTATACTCACTAAAAACGTCAGTTAAGTTTACATACAAAGCTTGCTTTCATGAAGCTCTATACAGCAGAGCACTGTCAAGTTAATGCTGTATTTCTTCACTGCCTACTGTTGAGAAATTTCTCAGCCTCCCCAGTCGTGACTTGCAAGAGATAGCATTTTAATTCCAGTATAAAAACAGAATAAGCAAAAGGTGGATTATTTCTGAGAACAGGCACTATTTTCAAGAAAATAAAACAGATCTGTTAAATCTCTTCACCTTTCAGGAGGATGAAAAGTGCTGTATCTTTAATATGTCTTCTCCAAAATGGAGACCTAGTAACATTTGAAAAACTCTGAATCACAGTGCTTCTTCCTTTTGGTACTCTGCATTTAACCTCCTGCAACTTGCACAAACAGCTCCAGCAAGTTTCAGTACCTCGTTGCTCAAAGACATCTTGGTGATGCATGGAGACTTTTGCACTGTTCACAAGAAGCCAAAACTAAAATACCTTTAAAAAAAAAAAAAAAAAAAAAAAAAACCAAAAACTTCTCAAGCCTCAAAATTGCCACAGAATCAAACAGGGGTACAAATTCCTTTCGTACCTCTTTTTCCGGTCATAGGCAAATAATTCAGAATTTACAGCGCAAAATATGAGACATGGTTGTAACAGGCAGGGGACATCTGCTGCACTTTCATTCCTATAATCCATTTGGACATAAATAGGATTACAAACATACCAACAAAATAAAAGCTATTGAAGCAATTCCTTCAAGTCCCTAACCTACAATTGCCAGGAGCTGATAACTTCTGTCATCTATTAATTTTGTCACAAAAACACTGTCAAAGACACCAGGCTCCCACAGCACATATGGAGAATTAAAAAAAGACAGGAACGATCTGTTTTTAAGGGGCTTCTCAGAGAGATTTCCTTATTAAAGGAGATGATCCTTACTGTACCAACTAAGTCAGACATACTCCCACCGAGGGAAGCTCACCGCCAAACCGACGTTAAGGCGTTCTGTTGAAAAGACGCCACAAAACGCCTTCAAGTTTGAATCACTGCAGCTTTTACGAGGCTCGTAATGCCGCCGTCTGTACCTGCCCGGGCTGCACCTCCTGCCTTAAAATTAAACCAGAACGAGGTCTCCGCTGCCAGTTCCCAACCCAGCAAGCCTTTAGATTAATAACGATTAAAAAAGAGAGAGAACTATAAATACTACTTTCGTGTAATTCGTAGAACCATCAGAACGCTTCGAGAAAGCAGCGCTGCATTTCTCACTCACTACCAACACGGCGTCCTCGCGCCTCGCTGCCGCTCCGGGCTCTCGAAGCAGCGCTGTGCCACAAAGCCCACACGCAGGGGATGCCAGCCGGGCCCACGGCGCCCAGCCCCACGTCTAGGAGCAGCAGCGCGAACTGGTCCCCAGAGCCCCAGCCCCTCACCCTCGCCGCTTTCTCCTGCAGCTTCTTCTTGTTCCTCTTCTTCTGCTCGTCGCCTTTCAGCAGCCCCGGTCCCGGCCCCGCCGCCCTGCCCGGGCCCCCGCTGGCCGTCAGGGCCACCGCCTCGTCGCCCTTCCTCTCGGCCGCGCTCCGCGCCGCCTTCTTGCGAAGCCCTCCTCCGCAGGCCGCGGCCAGGAGCAGCCCCAGCAGCGCCAGCCCCAACGCGGCCGGGAGCGCCAGGGCGAGCCAGGTGGGCAGGCCCTGGGGGTCGAGGCCCAGCTCCAGGCCCAGCTCGGTGCGCAGCAGGCCCAGGCCGCCCGACAGCACGTCCCGCACCCGGGCCGCCGTCTGCTCGGCCTGCTGGGCCGCCGCCTCCTGCCAGCCGCCCGCGGCCATCGCGGCCCCTCGCCCCGCAGAGGTCCGAAGCAGGAGCGCTGCGGAGGGAGAGCTCAAGCCGAACGCATCGCGGCCCCGAGAGAGCAACCCGAAGGAGACGCGCGGAGGCTACGCGGGACGCGGCCGCCCCCGCTCCGAAAGCGCCTGGTCTCCTCCTCTTCCTCCTCCCCGCCCTCCGCCCTGCGCCAACGTCACCGCCCCGCCGGCCGCCTGCCGCAGCGCGACGCCGCCATCCCCGCCCCTCAGCAGCCGCCCTCCTTCTGCTCCTCCTCCTCTCTCCACCCCGTCCTGCTCGCGGTGGAGACGTTGCAGGGCGGCGGGCGGTCTCGACGTGGCAGCCGGCGGGAGGGAGCCGTGACCTTCCTGCCTAGTGAGCGGCGGGGCTACTTCCCCGTTCGTGAGCCGCCTTTAATTCGCTTCGCCTGCAACATATCTCGGGCGTCGCGGTACGCGGAACGCTGGTTTGCGTCTGCTCTCGCCACTCCCTGTTTTCGGCCTGTAGGTCCTACAGGGTTTTGTTCTTACGGCTCCAGACAGGATAACCTTCTTGGGCCTGTCAGGCCAGAGAATGCCCCAGGGTTCTACGACTCCTGAGGTTGAGTCACCAGCCCCGTGGGAGCACCTCTGGCTCAGAGCTCAGCGTATCCCACACGCTGTGTGCACATCAGCATGTAAGAACAGGTCCCGGTGGGAATAGTGAGCATCAAAGTAGCTGAGCGCAACCTCAGCACCATGGAGATCGGCTGCCCAGAGAGGTTGTACATTCTCCTCTGGAGACATTCAAAACCCATTTGGACACCTACCTGTGCAACCTGGTCTAGGGACCCTGCTTTGCAGAAGGGTTGGACTGGATGATCTTCAGAGGTCCCTTCCAGCCTTTACAATTTTATGATCCTGTGATTCTATGGGACAGGCAGGTGGATACCACTTCATATCAGGCTTGCACTACAGCCTTCCAGTAGGCCTTCTCTGGTGCAGAAAATGTTTTCAAAGATGTCACCAAAAAATAGATGTTATTTTGAAATATTTCAGCCAAGGTAATATGACAACAAAGATGTTTTCTAAGAGCCATGTTTCCTAAGAGCTCAATGCCCACAGCTGGTTTAATAGTTGTTAAGCTTTATGTAAGTACAGCTGAATGAAAGGCAATGGGAGGTTTTTGTGTTGGAAGGAACTCCCCAGATTCATTTCCCCATGCACATTAAAGATGGACTCTAAAAAATGTGACCCCCAATGTGTGCCTTTTTTTCAGAAATCTGGTCTCACAGTGTCCAGGGTTCCTGCAGGGGACAGAGCACCTCCCCAGTGAGGACCGGCTGGGAAAGCTGGGGCCATTCAGCCTGGAGAAAAGAAGGCTCCGAGGAGACCTTATTGTGGCTTTCCAGTATCTGAAGGGTCTTACAGGAAAGCTGGGAGGGACTTTTTATAAGGGCAGGTAGCGACAAGACGAGGGGAAATGGCTTTAAGCTGAAAGAGGGTAGATTTAGACTAGATATTAGGAAGAAATTCTTTACTGTGAGGGTGGTGAGATGCTGGAACAGGTTGCCCAGTAAGGCTGTGGATGCCCTCTCCCTTGTTTCGTATGCTGATAATTTTATTTGTAAAGCCAGTATATTTTTCATACACAAGTATTTTATATAATTTTAAATCCCTTAGTTTTTAGCAAAGCGCTCTTAAAGTGCTCTTAAGTTCATGGGGTTTTTTTTACAGTGTCATCTTTAAACTGGCAATCAAATGCTAGTTTTCTAATGGAGTACAGTTTGAATGAAAAGTATTGCTGGAAGGAGTGGTAGCTACTGTTTTACTAATAGACATTTATATTCTTCTCGAATATTAGTTAAAAGCCATTATACTTTGTTTTCTCTGCTTTTGTTCTTTCCATGCTTCTACGCTTCAGCATAGACTATGCACTTGTTTTAGAAAGCTATTCTAGTACAGAATGTTGCACAACTCAGCCACCCTAATTTGCCAAATAAATTCATATTCTGTAAGTAGTTTGTTTCTGATGTTGCCCTACATAACTAGAGTTCTCAGAATAATGATCGTGTCGAATCATAGAATTTGTCTGAAGGTGGAAGAGACCCATGAGCAGCACTGACTCCGGCTTCTGGCTCCACACAGGACCACCCAAAAATCAGACCATCACTCAGGTAAAATGTTTTTAAAGGCACGAATCGTAGCACATAGATTTGGTACGTTTTTGCTTTACGTAGGCAGGAAAACAATGTGAGAGCCTTCAAAGTACAGGTGATAAAGACCGACTAAGTTTTTTAAATGCGGCTCCGTGGCACCACCGAGTGGCAGCACCGTGAATAGCAGTGCAGTCTTATGTTGGCGTAGAACAGGTAGCAGATTCTCTACGAACATAACTTATTTCAGTTTGCTTGGGATGATGAAATAAAATAATCTAAAGCTAACAATCTTTTTATTCCGAACTAATGTGATACACTAGCAGGTAGACATGAAATTTGTAGCAGACTGAAATGTTCTGAAGGAAATTTTGATGACATTAAAAGTGGCAGAAATACACATACTGCTCTGACTATGAAAATCAAAGAAAGGAAACTAAAGGATAAGTTCTACTTCGTACTAATTTCTATAATAACAGCAGATTAATATTAATCTTAAAAATTTCTGAATGGATTTGACCGAACCTACCCCAAGGATTCTTTCCAGCAGTGCTGAATATAACATATTTCTCATATTGTTCTTCAAAGAATCAGAGCAGAACATTGAGCAACACATTACAAGAGAGAATACAATGAAAAAAAAGCAAGAAATAAATAAAGATAAAAGTTAATCTTTTTTTTTTTTTTCTTAATTTTTCTTTCTTTTTTTTTTTTGGTAATCTCTCTTCTGCCTGTAAATGTTCCTTGTTTTACCACAACTGTTGTTAGACATCACCTACATAATGCCTTTCCATGACTCTAAGCATAAAAGAAAAATGGTTATTACAAAATTTAAACTAGCAGAAAAGTTTTATGGAGGAATTCACAGACAATGTGCAAAACATATTTAAATCTCAGTACCTGCTCTTTGATGTGGTGTGTAGAAAAACTACTGCACTCTCTAGAGTACTGTGCCTAATACATGGAAAATCCTAAGGATTTCTTTATCCTGAAGTAAAGAAAAGTTTTCCAATCCAACAACCATTATCCTTGGCAATGTTAATAAATAGCCATAAAAGGGTTGGACAGTCTGCATTCGGAGCTGTACCCAGGGAAATTACTCATGTGGGTCAGAGCTGGGCTAAGGCTCAGCCCAGGCTGAACATTAGGGTTAAGGTTTGGGCTAAGAACAGTAGGGTCATTACACCTAGATGTGTGCTTAGGATGGGGCTACAAAGGGTGGGCAAAAAGGGGTAGTGCACAGGAAGTAGTATTCCCTGAGGCCTTTTACATCTGGGCTGTGGTTGGGCATGCTGGGGAAGGCTCAGCTGGCGACTAGTGTTAGAGTTAGTGCTGGTGTTACAGTGTAAGAGATACACTGCAAAAAATAATTCTTTGAGATCTTTTTCATCTGGAACTAGCTTGGAGTTTGAAACAAATGCTCATCTCATCCTTTACAGTCATACTAAAAGTTTTAAGGGCTCAAAAACTGAGAGTTTTAAGAGCTGAAAAAGAGTTGCCATAGGAATTTTATTCTGAGTTCTTAATCATGTTGACTATAACTTGGAATCTTTGGCCTTCTTAGTTGATGTTGGGTGTTAGAGCTCAGAATATAGTTAAGCTTAAAGACAGAGAACAGACAAAGTCTTGATCTCTGGAGTGGACCAGGAAAGGGGCTGCAAAAAGTGTTTTTGTTTCTCACATGAGTGATGATTAGAGACCTTGGGCTAAGTCTCAGTTCTTATTGTTACGGACCTGGTCATCTTTAGAGCTGGAATGAGGGAGAACATTTAAAGCTCTGTAGTGGGATTGGAAAGGTCAGAGGACAGCAGGGATCAAAAGAATTGTTTGTTGAAGGCATAGTCTCTATCTGTGGTTGTTGGGTATCGGCTATCAGCTATCAGCTGATACCTAGGTTTGGGGTAAGAGTTAGAAGAGATGTTGAGACTCTCAGCAATAATTGTCTGGAAATGATCTGTCGAGGTGAAGAGGAGCGTATCAGAAGTGTTCTTCTCTGAAGTCTTTTTGACCTAAGCCATGGCTGGCACCCTATGCTGGGCCTTGGTTGATGTGAGAACATACTTATCTGGGCTACAGCTAGGATATTTGGGGCTAAGTCTCATTCAACACGTAGATTAAGATCTAGGTTAAGGTTAGAGGTACAAAGCTCTAGTTGGAATGGATTTCAAAAGAGACTGCAAAGGGAAGAAGTCGTGTGCAGATAAAATTAATGCCTGAGACCATGCTCCTCTGGGAAATGCCTGGAGCTATTGTGCTAAATTTCAGCTGAAGCGCAAGTTTAGAGTGAGAGAGTTTGTGTTTGGAAAGAGAGAAAGCAGGGAGCGAGGCTGGAAAAGATCTGTCATGGGAAAGAGGCATGCATACAGAATTCTCACATAAGGATATATAAGTCTAGGCCATAGCTGGGGTATTTTAGGCTGGGTTTCCACCAGCATGTAAGTTTAGAGTTGAGAGACAAAGCATAAGGCTCAATTTGAAGAGAGTCTTGAAAGCAGCTGTTGAAGGAAGGTGTAGGCAGTGAAAAAAAAACGTAAAATGAAATGTAAAAAAATACTTGTGCCCTGAGGTCTTGTTCATCTGGGCTGTGATTGGGTGACCTCTGTTCTCATAGTAGTGAATGATTTCAGTAAGTCTGGAGACAGTTTCAGTTTCCTTACTGCAGTACCTCAGAAAAGATTTATTTCCCACCTAAGGTAAGTAGGCCTTTCAGTTAAAGGATGAGTATTCCATACCCCTCTTTTACCTTGGAAATTCAACTCATTTATTTTTTCTATCGACACATTCATCCTTAAGGGTTCACACAGAATCTAACATCAACATTTACTGCTAAGGAATACTGTCTTCTTCAAAGTATTTATTAATTTTACATTACTTTTCATGATAGCGCATGTTCTTCTGCATAACCATATCATGCAAATATAGAAACATTCTGACAAAAATCATCACCTTAATTCCCTCTATGAAGTATAAGTCTCTTCTCATTAAACCTTCAACATAAATAGTGTTTAGCCATCAAAACTAAATTG